TATTGAGAATGGGGGAGAAAGAAAGTCAAAGAAGTTACCTGATCACTGGCTTGGGCAAATAGGTGGGTGGAGGGGGCATCTCTGGAGTGAGGATCTAGAAAGGGTTGAAGAAGATTCTAAGTGTAGATTTCAACAAGGTGAGTGTGAGATACCTGTGGGACATCCAGAGGACAGTCTTAGAGGCTGTGGGACAGACAAGCGTGGCACTCAAGAGAGAATCAAGGAAGGATCCGTTTCTTCAACATCCTCCAGCATCAGTGAGCTACATCAATAAAAGGAAATGTGCTTGCAGGGGCTGGGTAGGGGCACTCAAATGGATAAAGAAGAGATACCCAAGAACCTTCTGGGAAAAGGAATTTCTAGCAGGTGCACAAATCAGAATGGAAAGATGGAAAGCTTAAACACACAGAGCTGCCCGACCAAGACCATCAGGTCTTCCATGAGTCCAAGGCTGTGTTTACCTGAGCCAGGAGGATTTGAATTGCAAAACATGTTGCGGATTAGGGGCTCTCCCATTCAGGCCCCTGTCAGCCCCCCTTCCCTCATCTACTGCAGACTCAGCAAAGCGTTTCCTTCTAGCTGCCTAGTATGCTTGCCTTTAAAGGTAAAAAGCCCTTCCCGGGCCAGGCTTACTCACTCCTGACTTGGTTAGACCCGCCCTGCACAGCCCCCACCCCCTGCCCCCCGGTTCACACGTGCTTGTGTGCACGCACTAAGCACCGGCATCTGCCTGTCCACCTGGCACCTCCTGACCAGCCCCATAGAGTTCTTTCCTTTCCAACTGCCTGGAGCTGGAACGGCTTGGAACTGAACCCAAAAAAAGCCCAAGTTCCCGCCAGGGCTACAGGCAGCCTCTGGGGAACAAAGCTGCCAGTGTAAGCACAGCTTGGAGAGGGAGGCACTTGGCCTCTCCACACCGGACTCTGGGGCTCCATAGTCCTTGCACATTTCCTTTAGAACCTTACATTTCAAGAATAGGCTTGAGGGAAGTGAAGATAATTTCAGGTCCTTTCTCTGCTGAAAGGTTTTGGGGAGCCTTGTTCCGCACTGCCCTCTGAGTAAAGCCCTCACTCCTTTATCTGACATCTGGAGCCCTTTGCCCCACCTCTTCAATTTCTTACTCAAATTCCCCTACCTTCACCTACTCTCTCCTAACCCCCTATACCTTCCCTGGTTTAGCTCTACCTTTATTCCTCCCCTCCAGGCATGTCTGGAGCTTTCTCACCACCCCCACCTAAAAATCTCCGCTGCTCAGATGCTACTTCCGCAAGCCTTCTGCTGGCATTCCCTCTCTGGAGTTAAATCCTGTTTTCCAGAACTCAGCCACCCAAAGGATAAGCCAGTCCACCAGAGAATTTAACCTCTGACCCTACAGCAAAAGTTTTTGATTAATTTTCCTGCAAACAGTAGCCTTCAGGGGTCATAAAACATTTACAGATAGTGGAATTCCAAGCAGGTAAATTGGGGGGCCTGTGCTTGGAAGATATAGTAGGGCCAGAATAAAGTTGTTTTTCTCTCTGCTTTGTCCTCAGGCGCCACCCTGACCACCGGATGGGAATTTGATTAAATTTCTGATATCAAGATTTACTACAGTTTATTTGGATAAACTTTCATACACATGCTTATTCCTCAGACTGATTCAGGAAAGAATCCTTAAAACCCTTTTACTGAAGCTGATATTGAGGCTCAGAGAGAAGGGATTTGCTCAAGGCTGTTTGGCCAGTAGAAAGCAGAGCTGAGATGCGGGACTCCACCACACTACCCACCTCAAGGAACTTCCTGCTGGTGTCAGAGATGGTGAGGATGGCACAGGATAGGACAAGGCTCAGATCTGTTGTTCACAAGGTAGCTGTGATTTGCTGTCAACTTGTCCATTCACCTTGCTCCTAAGGAGTGGCTGATGAATTTGAAGTGCTGACTTTTGGTTAGAAGCCCAATACACTGCGCATCATGACACCATGGCTCCTTCCACATTGGTCTTTAATGGTGACCCAGACACCTCCAGCAGTCACTCTTCTTGTCTTGAGCCTTTCTGCATGCTCTTCCCTCTGCCAGGAGCCTTCCATTTGATCCAGACTCACCTGCTTAACTCACAGTCAAACTTCCAAGCCTTGTTCTCATGACCCTCCCCCTCCCTAAAGGTCTCTCTGCTCCTCCCCCTCCTCGTACACTTTCTTATCCTTGAACACATGACTTGGTGTTATTGCTCCTTATCTCACCTCTTCTTTCTCCTCCAGTCTGGGGGATTCAGCGAGCCTCACATTGTTTCCATGGAATTGGCTAGTCAAGGGTTGACCTGTATTGTGTGGCCCTGAGCTGAGTGGGGCTCAACAGCTGGAAAGGGAGTACACCATAGACTGGATGTGCTAGGAAATAGGTATCTATGGAAAGATTTTAAGCAGGCAATTGGCAAAGCCCAAAAGGTACTTAAGAAAGAACTGGAAGTGTTGGCAGGATGGCCTAGAGTAGAGAGGAAACCAGACAAGCAGATTAGCTGCTCTTAAGGTTCATTCATTCAGTCAGTTGTTCACTCCTTCAACTGTGAACTGTTCAGCTCTAGAAGCCGTATTTAAGAAGCTCAGAATCTGAGAGAAGATAGACAGAAGATAATCAGCAAACTAAGAAATACCAAAATATAAAAGAGACAAAGATTCCCACTTGGGAAAATTGGGGACACTAGAAGAGGTCCCGTTCCAGTGCTGCTTTGTATAATCCGAAGACCCATCTTGGCATGATAAGATGCTAAGAGAACCTCAGGCAGAGGAAATACCTGAGCAAAGACATGGTTGTAGAAAATGTCTGGTATGAGCTGAGGTTGTCCTGAAGAAGGGCGTTGGTGGTCAGGTTTAAGTCTTGCTTCCTCCATGAAATGCTGGGCTCCTATGCAAGACAATGAGCGAGGTTCAGAACTAGAAGAGGCAAAACCAGAGTAGCTAGCAAAAAAAGCTGCATGGTGAGCAGTGAAGAAGGTAGAGTAGGTCGAATCATTAGGTCCTAGTAACCTCTTATACTTGAAGGGAGAGGGCAAAGCTGCAGGTGAATCTGAGCTTTCCACGTTAGCAGCTGGGAGACCACAGAAATAGAAGCAATGGCCAGCAGAAGGCCATGGGTGTGTCCAAAACAGACCTGTCTTCCTTTCCAAGAAGGCTTGCCTAGCCAGATGCCCTCTCAGCCAGCACTGTGTGAATAGTACAGAGAAAGAGAGAGAAATCAAGGAGTTAACTGATCAGCTCAACCTATTTCCTCCAGAAAGTAATGCCACCGTACCCCCGTGCTAAAGATGTTAGCCAGACTTTTGGAATGAGGGTCTTTCAAATAAGAAGGGCTCAAATAAGATACTGCTCTAGAAGAGGTAACGCAGTGAAATCAGAAGAAAGGGCTGCTGTTTGTTATTGCTGGTTACTGTGGTTCAGGCTCATGATAACCTTATACACAACAGAACAAAATGGTGTCCAGCCCTGTGCAGCCCCCATGGTCTTTGATCCACTGAGTCCATTGTTGACACTGTTGTATCAATCTGTATTATTCAGAATTTTCCTTGTTTTCACCAAACTTCTACTTTCCCAAAGGCGATGATGTCCTTTTCTAGTCATTTTTCCTGATGATGTGACCATCCTTGTTTCGAAGGTGACTTCTGGTTGTATTTCTTTTCAAACTGATTTGCAATCAGGAACTACTACTACTCTTACTATCTCTTAAGAGGACATACAGAGGGCCCAGCACCTAAGAACGGTATGTACTTATTTAAAATAGCACGTGAGTTTGGTTATGTTATTAACTCCATTTTAACTATAGGGGCCGAAAAAACCGAGGCTCAGTGCTGAGCAAGTTGCCCAGGACCACACTTGGGTCAGCCTTCATTTAACTTAACCATTCCACTTGCCTGCTTTTCCTGTCTTTCACTCTTACATGTCATGATAGACTTGCATGTGATGTCAGTAAAGGAAGGCTTCACAGAGGCAGTGATACTAAAGCCTAGGGAAAAGGTAGATGAGGAATTACATGCGGACCAGCACGTGAAAAGCAGGCCTAAGGCTGCAAGTAGGATTTTGGAGATGACGTAGAGGGAGAACTTAACTATGGAGTGAGATCTTCTGTTGTGTCTCTAATAAATACGTGCTTTACTCTTGATAAATACCTCTTACCGTCTAACATAAATGAAATTCATTTAATCGTCACAACATGTTTACTAAATCATTTTATTTTTTTAAGGAGCTCTGGTGGGGGAAAAAACCAAACACAAAACACCTACTAAACACTTGACTGCTAACCATTCCTAACCCATGCATAGGAGAAAGACCTGGCAATTTGCTCACTTAAAAATTAAAGCCAAAAAAAAACAAAAAAAAACAAAACTATGGGGCAGTTATATTCTGCCTCATAAAATAGCTATGAATCTAAATACCCTGCCGCATCCAACAACTACTTTTATCCAGGAACATTATCCAGTGGTGAAGTAAGAACGCTCTAGTCTTCGCTCTGAGAAGCTACGCTATTTCGTCCCAAGCTTGTCTTACAGCCGGCTATCAACACCATCATTTAGCTAGAAGAGGACGCTGAGGTTCAGAGAGGTGTGCACATTTTTCCAAAGTCACACAGCTAGCGCCCTCCCCCGACTCAGCGTGCAGGAGCCCGGCAGTTAGAGTGAGGCTGTAGCCAGGAACTCTGTCTCTTTGAGCCCGAGCGCCCCCTGCCCCTACTCTGGCCCCCTCCTCGCAGAACCCCGCCCCGGACGTGCCCGGCCCAGACCCCGCCCCAAGGCCTATCTACACACCTCCGACACACCCCCTGGAGGCTTCAGCCAATAGCCGCTCACAGGTTCCTAGGGTCCTATAAATGCTACCCGCGTGCTAACAGGAGTGTGTGCAGAGATCGGGCCTCAGGTCCCTAGGGTTAGAGTAGAAGGGAGGGAGAAACCAGGCGACAAAAGTCGAGTCTCGGAACCAGGGCGGGGACCTGCGCACGCCGCTCTCCCGCCAGCCACCCGAGTCGGATCGCCTCCCGCCCGCCCGCGCACTCAGCCAGCCAGAGCCACGAGCGCACAGCGGCCATGGAGCCCAGCAGCAAAGTGAGTGAATCGCGCGGCTCCGAGCGGCCGCGAGTCCTCCCTGGCCAGAACAAAGGCGCGGACCCCTCGGCCGCCGGGCCTCCCCGGGGCCTGGCCGCGTTGTGCGCCAGGGCGGGCGGCGCGCCTCCTAGAGCCTCGCCAGAACTCTGCTCCTGCGTTGGGTGGGCGGGGGCTGAGGGTCGGGGGTCCGATCGTCTCGGCATCCATTGGCAGCAGTGTATCGCGTGTGAAATTGGCGCCCGACCTGGGTGCTGGCTTCCTTCCGGGGGTGCCGCGCCATGCACGCGGTCGGATGGGGGCCGGGGACCGAGGGCCAGAGCTCGTCACGTCGCGCACGGCCTTCCCGGCTGAGGCAGAGCCGGCTCCTCCCGGTGCGGGGGAGGGGACCCGTACACAGCACCCATTGGCCGAGCGGGCCGAGCCCCCGGCCTTTCCCCAGACCAGCGCATCTCGACCCGCATCCACTCTCGACCCGCCCGGAACCTCTGTTTACCCTTCCCGTGCGCCACACTATATTTGCGGCCTTGTGTTTGGCATTTTACGCGGCATTTTACTACCCTGTCTCCAACCTGAGACGCAGAAGCGAGAGGGTGCCTTCGTTAGTGCAGGGCTCATACTCAGAGATGTCTAGGTCCAGAGTCGAGACGAGAATCTGGCCTTTAAGACCTCTTTTTCCAACTTATGAAGGCTCAAAACTTTTACCAAATGCTGGGAAAATCTAGTTCGAGAGGGCCCATTCCCTTTTCGGCAGCAGAGAGGGCCCAGCAGTGGAATACCCCAGGGGACCACCGCCGGGAGCGCCAGAATGTCAGAAGCTGGGAAGTCTCCAGGCTGGCGGACCCCAGAGAGAAACCTATGGCATGGGCCTGGGGAAGGAGGATGAGAACTCCTGGAGACAAACTACCCAGATATAGATCAAAACTCAAAAACCTTGCTGTAGATTCAGAACAGATTAATTCATAGGTGACCCTTCAGCGGGCTTCCGAGGTTGTCAATTGCATTCTATTTACAAGGCTGTTGTCCATCTTTCTCCGGCCTAGCAGTTGGTGGATTCGAACCCCCAGAGATGCACAGCCCTTGCTTAAGCAGCGCCACTCACTGAGGATTAGGTCACCAGAGCTCACTAGATGCCTGCATTTCTTTTTAAAATCGGTGAAACGGGCTTGTAACCCCTCCCACCTCACACGGAAATTTCGTGCTTTCTTCCTCGGGCCATTCATGTGTGTTCCTTCAGACACTCAGATCTGACCTCAGGCTTGGGTGAGTGAGACCCTGAGGAAGTTATGGTAATCTTAAAGAAAGTTTCAGTGAGCTATTCCTTCTGGATTAAACAAAACTAAGAAGGGAGAGTCATTTTTAGCTAGCGGCAAGGGCTTCGTGACCCTGAACTCTACCACTTGTTGCGTCTTGGGTATGTTAGGCTACTTATGTTGACTGGATCTCAGTTTCTCTGCCCATAAAATGAGAATAACATCTTCACCTTAAAGCGAAATTCTTCCAGGATCTCCCCCTACCTTAGGGATTGATTGTGGCGACCTCATGTGTTAGAGTAGAACTGTGTTTGATGGGAATTTCAGTGACCTTTTTGTTCTTCACAAAGTTGTCTCTGAGTGGGCTCAAACCTGCAAACTGGTAAATTAACCAGTTGCACCACGGAAAAATAAGGTCGGTCTCTTCAGCCTGTGATGCAGGGCCTGAGTGTTTATTATTGAGTGCTTAAGTCAATGTTCTTCAATTCAGACCCCTGGAAAAAAGACCTTTCATTGTCCCTTTTCATTTCGCTCCAGCCTTTCTTGAGTTTCAAGCTGAATGAGGAGAGCTTGCCTAGCCTCACTACTTTGTACCAACTGGTACTAGGTGCTATAGAAAAGGGGTGCCTATTTCTCTATAGAGAGAGTTTAGAGCATCTTTCTCCCCCCACGGTTGAGTTGTGTTTAGAAATTTATGAATGAATTATAAATTTATACAATATACTATTAATAGATTTGTGTCAATACAAAGTAAACCAAACTCACTGTCATCGTTGATTCCAACTAAAGAATGTCCCTGCAGGACAGAGGAGAACTGCCACATGGGCTTTCTATGAGCTGTAAATCATTACGAAAGCAGGCTACCTCATCTTCATCCCTCAAAATAGCTGGTGAGTTCAAACCACCAGCCTTCTGGCTCACTGCATCACCAGAATTCCTTCTTTACAAAACAGAAATTTTAAAAAAAACAAATACAGATAAAAGGTAGTTTACTTTTTGCCAAATTCTCTGTAGATTTGTTTATATTCTGAGATAAAGCTCTGCTTGAGCCCACCAGCAGTTCTGGGACAAAGATGTGATAAGCTGCTTCTATAAATATTTACAGCCTCTTTGGTTTAGTTTTGGAGATTTGATTTAATCAACAAGCACAGTCATTTTATGGGGAAGGGGTGTTAAATTGAACCCTGGAGAAGTATATAACTTGTCCAAAATCTTAAAAACAAGTATACCTAACTCTGAAACGATTCTTTCTTCTCTCTCTTCATCTCCTACCAACTGGGAATTCACTCAGCTGACTTCCCTGTATTCCACCATGTGCCTCTGGCCACTGTGGGGAATGATCTTAACTAGTAGGAAGTAGGAAGGAGGCAAGTCCAGTCTTCCTCTCTCAGCCAAGGCCCCCCCCCCTCCCCCCCCCGCCAAGTTTCCTCCTGGGCAACAGGCAAGGGCCTTGCTCCGAAAGTCTCAGGGTGCCTTTTGTGAGAAACCTGTGGCTGCTTCACCTCTTGTACCGCTGGTCTCTGTGATATTTCTGCTTCCAGAAAAAGGAGAGAACCTGAGAAATCCAAAGAGCGCAGTTATTTGAAGTGCAGTTGCAGTGGTTTTCAATCCCAGCATATTTCAGTTGCCTCATCTGCAGAATACCATTTTCATTATTAAGGTGTTTTTGTTATTTGCCTTTGAGTTGGAACTGACTCATGACTAGCCCTCCAGTGGGTTTTCAGAGGCAGTAAATCGCATGGGCATTGATTGCCCACTTTCTCCTATGTGTTTGGATTGGCAGTGCACCTCTATACCACTAGGCTACCAGAGCACCACTAGGGTAGCTATAAAACTGCAGGGGGAAAAAAGGTAGATGCCTAATGCCATCCACAAAATAGAGTTCTGGTCATCTAGTGATTAAGGAGTTGTGCTGCCAACCCAAAAGCAGTAGGTTCAGATCCCCCAACTGCTCCGTGAGAGAAAAATGGGCAGTCTCTTCACATGCCGTATACTGCTTGTGGAAACCTTCTGCAGGGTCAGCTGTGAGTTGGTTCAACACATAACAACACCTCCATAAAACAACAATAGCAAACAAACCCATTGCCCTCAAATTGAATCTGACTCAGTGATTCCAAGTTTGTCAGTGCAGAGCTGTGTTTTTCACTATCTCTGATTTTTTACCAGACCTTTCTTTCTGAGGCACCTCCGGGGAGATTCAAACTGCCAGACTTTCATTTGGTAACCAAGTGCTTAACCAGTAGTGCCATCCAGGAATTCTTGCCTAGCCCTGTAGAGGCTCCCTCCTTGCTTGGACTCCTGTGATGCACTGTGCTTCCCCAGGCCTGAAGTAATCTATATGTTTTGTGCTACAAACTCTAGCTGGAAGCCTGGCATTTCTAGCAGTGTGTTTGGGTAGCAAGTTCCCTTGGCCTGGGGTCTGAGCCTCACTTAATCAGGTAAGCCCAGGAAAGCTCCTGATCTAGTTTTTCTCTTTTTCTTTTTGTTAAAAAGGTGGTTCATGAAGATCCACATCGAGAGAGTGTCCAGCCCTGCCTTGCTCTGCTCTTCCCCCCACTGCCCCACCCCCACCCCCACCTGCCTGAAACTTGGGTGGTTGTTAAGTGCTGTGTTGAGTTTACTTCATCTCATATAGTAACCCAATAAACAGCAGATCTGAAATTTGAGTAACCTTTCATGGTCACTTCCAGGATCCTCACAATAAAAAGTGGCTTTCCCCACATTGCACACTGAGCCTCCCATCTCAAAACATGTGGCCCACATTTCAGAGATTAAGGGAAGAAACCTTTTAGCCTCCTCCTAGCCCTCTCTGTGTCAGATTGGGAAACTGATTCCAGAGAAAAGAAGCAGCTTGACCAAGATAAGCCTGTTGGAAAAGATTTGAGGTCTTCTAGAGTCTGGTGGCCTACTGGTAAAGAGTTACATTGCTAGCTCAAAGGCACGTTCATCAAATCTACCAGCTGCTTTACAAGAGAAAGATGGGTAATCTTCTCCCATCTAGAGTGATTTAGAAAACCCACTGAAGGCTCAGCAGTGAGCCAGTTCCATCTTGTAGCACCTAACAAGCGTATAAAAAAAAAATCCAAAACAACTATTTTTCTTATCCGTGCAAACCAATGTCCTGTTCCAGAAATATCCGCCAGCCATCCAAATAAGCAGGAGTTCCTAGGATTTTCCCAGCATTTACTGGGTACAATTGAATGAAGAGAGTTGGATTAGACGTGGCCTGACTACTGAAAACTCGTCAGTAAATGGAAACATAATACACTGGTGTTTCCACAAAACTGACCTTGGGGAAGTGTCTTCTCTCAGAACCTTAGTTCCTTTGCTGTAAAATGGAGGGTTTGCTACCCACTGGCTAATCAAATGAGATGAGGCAGGCCCGCTGTCTTCAGTCGGGCTGGTGACTATTTCAAGGGGAAAGACCCTTGCATGGGTCATTTGGATGTGCAGCCAGTGGAGAGGGCTCCCAGATGATCCTTGTCCAGTGCTGAGCCGTCTTGGGACAGACCCGACTTGCCCCAGAGCTGGGTCTGTCCCAAATCCCCCATAATCAGCTTGTGACTACCGAGAGCTCAGCTTTTGCCTGGTCCCTCCTGGTCACGGGGTGTCTGGCCCCAGAGTTCTCCAGCACCAAGGGTACAGGCATCCAACCCCCATTTGCCACCACTCCCCTCACCCCAGGTTGGCAGCACTGGGAAGGCTGGGAACAAAGGGGAAAGTGTGCTGCACTGGCCTGCGGCCCGCAGG